AGGGGGGCAAAGATTTAAGAGTGTATTACCGCACTGGAAACTTCATGTTATTTAGCCGCCAACAGACGCTGTAATTCTCCGCCAGCAGCTTCTGTCGCTTTTTATCAGACCAGTCATCATCGGCAGCCTTGGGCGTGAACAAATGACCTGGAACGGACAAGAAAAATCCCATTTCATCCAGAACTTAACACTGCAACCCTGCTCACCTTGCAGCCAACGACACACCCCACAGAAACAACCCGTCTCAGTCGCCCGAGTGTGATTCATAATCACGTGGTGATGCATTGTGTGGAGGTTATGAGTTTGAAGTTGGGGTCGTTAAAGTAGAATTTTCCATTCCTCTCAGCGATGCACAAATTCTGTCCCTCTTATCTGTTTCTATTACGTTTGTGCTCGAGGTGGGAGAACGTTTTTAAACTTCTCCCTCAGTCGACATCTCAAGCTTGATGAGCTCTTACTTACAACCACACACAGAAGCTCTTTCTCTATTCTACCATTAAGTGTCTGCTGAGGACTGTGTTTCCTCTCAACTGGTACAAAACCCACTCAGGATAACACTGAATGTATTGAGCGCGGTGAATGCAGCTGTATTCATTATGTATTGTATTACGAGTGGGAGCAGATATGGAAGACTGCGAGGGGCAGAACGACCGAGATAGTGAACAGTCCAACTCGTAGTATCGACTGCAGTGCAGTAGAAGGTAACTCAACTTTCCTTCACGTAGTAATAACTAGATTCTCTGCGCGGGTCTGTCTTTTTAATTAAGCTGTCATATTACACACGAGGCAAAAAAGATTTTAAAGCGTTAATGAAGCTTAAAATACAATGAAGCCGCTGAGTGCTGCTGCAAGTGCTTTGAGAGTTCTGCCTCTCATGTTGCATACAGGCCCCCCTACCCTGCTCCTGAAGGTTATACGGGGGCTTTCAGACATGCACTGAGCTCCGGACTTTCTGCAGACCCGATTCTCCAATTATCCTCCGGAGGTCATGTCTGAAAATGGCTATAGTTGGTTTGGCTTTTGGTTTAAACCCTCATGATCATAACAACCGAGCTACCAAATAGAAATTGTGGACAAAACCATACAAATATGAATTAATCTGTTGAGATGTGGAAGTTTCTCACAGTCTGTGTTTCTCAGTCTCACTCAAGTGTGTCGCCCGGTATCTCCGCCTCTCACTCTCCCGCTCTTCCCCCAGTCCTGGCTCTCCCTCCCCTGGGGTGAGGCTTCAGGTTAGGGCCATGCCCGGGGCAGGAGGCTGTATTAATAAGACATACTGCCATGGAAAGGTATAGATCAGAGGAGGAAACAGCGCCCTGGGCTAATGCACAACAAATGAATGTGCAGGAGGAAAGACAAGGAGAGAGTGAGGGTAAGAGAGAGGCAGAAAACCTCAACGCCTTTTTACTCCACATGTTCATGGGGGAATGTTGTGTTTTTGTTTTGCCACACTGGTCTGTATGAAAGGCATGAACATGGAGTGTGGGGGCAATGTTGTCCCACGTCGTGAATGGGACGCTGACATGTTCCACGTCTCTGAGGCTAAATCCTTACTTCTACTGCTAACTCTGCTGCGGATATGCATTTGAAATGTGTTTGTATGGACAGGGATTAAAACTGATAAGGAGCCAAAACACAGAAATGATTTTGCAGTAGAGTGGATGCAGCTCAACTCACACGGAGACAAACAAGAGGTCATCTTAACAACAGTTCAGCAGCATCTCCAGAGAGCGATGGATTGAAGGGAGGACATATTGCCCAGGGTGCTGTGGAAGAAAAGCTGCCTCTCTGGCTTTGAAAAGAGCAGGAAACAAAAGAGCGGAGACGGAGCGATGATAAGGTCTAAAATGATGAACGCAGCAGTAGGGCTTACAGAAAGGGCAGCGATGGGGAGCATTTGAAAGATCTGAGGTATATCTAAGGTGTCTCGGGGTGCGCGGATAAAGGGTAAGATCAGCAGTCCAGTGAGAAATAAAGATGAAGAAAGGCTCCTTAAAGAGATGCAGGTCTTTTGACTTTAAAAGAAAAGTCACAAAAAAAAAAAAAGGCCTGTCAATCTCTCCGACCGCTCATTTAACACCATAATATTTTTTTTCTTACCCATTCAGGCCCCAGCGATCGCAATTACCATTTTATATGTACAAAAGAGGGCCATTTATCAAGATGCCAAATTGAGTCAAAGACAAAATAATGGAGCTTGATGGAAAAAATGCAATACCCATTATTTACCACCATGATTTACATGAAGGGCTCCATTTTATACCCAGTGTTTTTTCTGTGAAGGGGACAAAAGCTGTTCAGGGGGGCGTGTGGCTATGCCGATCTAAAAATGTCTGAAACTGCCCTCCCAAGCACGTTCTGAATTAAAGCCATTGTGATGGTAATTTTGTCACCTCTAATGGACAATTAGATATGCCAGCAGATAGAGAGCACGCTGCATAACAATCTCTGGCTTCTAATTACCGCGCCAAATGGCTTGGTTGCTCGTGCGCCTATGGATCACTAAAGCAATAAGGCAGAGGAGAGCACGGGTGGATTGAAGGTGAAAGAGGGCGCGTGTTGTATTAAACTTATCCTTCCCTGATAAAAGCCTGACGGATGTAGAGCTGGATGAACTTTCATACATCTGGGTCATAATGGCTCCCTGCAGGGGTTTCCTCTCGTGGCTGGAACACACTGTGTTTGTGCTGGAAGCTTCTATTCAGATATAATGAAAACCTTTTCGCTGACACTGGGTCAGTTTTCTTAACCCTGGAGCCTGTACCTTTTTCTGTTAAAGCTTTTCAGAGACATCTACGTATTTTTGTTTGCCATGAGCGTCAATATGAAAAGTTTTCTTTTAGAGAATAAAAAATGCAGAAAATTTTTGCATTTCTATCTACATTGTTCTATATTAGTCATTTCTTTTTATTTATAGTTATTTATTAAAGTTTATGTTTTGTTCTAATTATTTAACATATATCTGTCATATATCAACTGGTATATTAGTATATTGGACATTTTTTTATTCTCTAAAATTAGTTTCTCTTTTTTCCATTCGATTCTGATTTCTATTGACTTTGATATTTTCCCTTCAATATTACTTTGATATTAATATTTTAAAAACATGTTGTGTCCATGTTACTTTATGATCAATCACAACTCCTAACCGTAAATGTCGGTTTCTTGACATCAGGGACTATTTATTAACATCAAATCAAGTTTTAAGATTTTAAGATAAGTTTAAAAAGTTGTTGTACCAATCACAGATCCCTGGGGTACTCCACCAGTGATTAACCTAAATCCAAGTATCTTGAAGTATCACGAAATCATCCTCCTCCTGCCGCCCTGACTTTCATTCCATGACGCTACCTCCTCCTCAACAGTTCAACTCGTATGTTCTGGATCACGAGCATGAACTTTTTCTTTCTCCACACTTGGACTTGTTTTCGTCACTTTGCTCATATCATCCCGTAAAACTTTTGCAGCCCCAGAACTTTTTGTTCGTCTTCAGAAATTCCAATCTGACCTTTTGATTCTCACCACTGATACATTTCGTGGTGCGGCTTTTATATTTCAGTGGATCTGTGATACCTTCACTGCAGCTCTGTGGAGGTTGGTGCTCTTGTCACTGACAGTTGTTTTGTTTTTCTTCTGACAAAGCTGCCGTCGTTGTCTTTGGTCAATCTGCTCCATGTCTGCTGCTCAGTGCACCAGAGCCTTCTCTCTTTTTTCAGGAATTTCCAAATTGTTGGCTTTACCCAATGTTTGTTAAATGGCTCTGATTGATTTTGCCTCTTTTCCCAGCTTCAAAATCACTTGTTCTTCTGCACAGACAGCGCTCTGCTCTTTATGTTCTTTTAAACAACAACACCATCTTCACAAGTCGAACCTAAGGCTAAAACCAAGAGAAGACACTGAAAGCTGTCTGATGTTCGATCGATCGAGGGGAGAGGCAACAAGAAACACTCGAGTCACATGTTCCAGTATTTTTGTTCGATTGAAAAATCAGTGCAAAAGTTGTCGTTTAGTTGTTTAACACGTCTTGATTTTAACTCAAGTGAACAAAAGCTGAAACTCTTGTGTCATATGTATCTTTTGATTTGATATCAAAATGTCTTCGGTGAAGAGCAAAAGAGTTTGAATAGTTTTCCAGGGGATTGGATTCACACCATTGAAGACCTTAAATTAAATTATCCATCAATGCTGCTTTTAAAATCCTGTTTATTACAAAAGTTTGAAAAAAGCTTCACCAGGGCTCAGAACCTGTTGTTTCAGACTGTCCTGGACCTTGCAGTGGAATGCACATGTCCATTTGTGACGTCTCTATCTCATGACATTTGCACACAGTATATTTGAAAAGGTCAACACCTTCTAAATAAAGGTGGGCAGCCTCTCGCAAGTGTGAATGGGGAAACCTGCGCTCACTTCATTTCTATACAGAATCCAAACCCCCAAACCACCACATCCGCTGCCATTCAGAGACGTTCCCCATCCTCTGCTGCGCGTTTTAATTTAATTATGTTGGCAATGCACGGACACCCAATAACTTCATTAACATTATATTAGTTTTTTGTCTGTTTTCTTCCATTAGCCCGGCGGCTACAGAACTGTGCTGCACTTCCAAACTTGGAACGTTTTGTTTTGAAACCAGACTTTTAATCTGAGAGCAGAAAAAAAAAAACTTCTGAGCAGGAAACCAGAAAATTCACAGTTTCACTCGTGACTAATCCGATCTCAGGCTCGAGTCTCTAACGTGCAACATGGATTCTTTCCCTCGGTCTCTAATGTCACTGAGTTACATTTGTTCATGTCCAGTGACCAGTGTTAAAGGATTTCTGTGTAAGGAGCGTTATTAATGTTTAATTAACTAGCTGTCAGAGGGCAGCGAGTCCGTCTGACCCATAACTTTGAGTTAATGTGGATCATGCAAACCTGTTTGTGTTGAGTAATGTGGCGTTTAGAGTCTTTCACTGCAGATTGAAATATGGTTTATTTACTTTGTCTTTCTTCCATCTCAGGTAATGAGCTGTTGTACCGCAGTCGTGACGGCGACGTCATCAAGTACAACGTTGACACCGATGAGAAGACGATCCTGGTTCACAACAAAAAGTTTGTAAGTCTTTTATCATCTTCTCTTCCTCGCTCGCGATCACAGAAAGAATTGACCAACGCGGCCCGTGAATTAATTAAAAAACTTTTCTCATAACATCAGCAAATCAAAGCACCCACAGCTCTTTTCTTTTTTTTTTCTTTTTTTATTACAAAGCTTAATGGAATGATCCATTATTGCTGTGGAATGTAAACTGCATAGTTTAACACTCGGGGCTCGGTTGTGTGGGGAAAATGTTGAGATGGAGATGTAGCGTCAGCGCCGCAGCAGCAGCTGGGGTGACGCCACACAACATTATGTCCGCCATCAAATCACCGAGCCCCAGTGCAGAGATTAATGCAACTCCCATTTGCTCCAGGATCCGAGCGATCCGTCAAACGCAGTCATTTAATGAGTAGTTTAATGAAAAAAATACCACGCATGGTTAAAGGTCTCATCTTTTTGTCTCCTTTGCTTCTCAGGAAATGTACAAAGCCAGCAAGTATGAGGTGTCGCCCGACATGAAGCATGTGCTGCTGGCCTACAACGTCGCACCGGTGAGCTTCTCATTTGTTTGCTTGTTTTTTGAATTAGCAAGCTGACAGCTAAATATGTCAGCCGCCTCCACTGGGGGCGGGGGGGTGGCTGTGATTATGGGCATCGTACTGAGGCGAAGGAGGGAGGGAGGAGAAAGTAATCACGGCGGGGGTGTGACGGCCTGCCGCACACCGCCGCCTGTCAGCAATGGCAGCGGGGGCCTGCACAGCCGAGTGGAACTGTAGCGAGGGACGCAGAAACACAAACAGACCCCTCGGCGCTGCTCTGGCTCGCACGGAGGGAGATGAGATCGACAGCAGGGACAGGAAGCGTTGGCTGGGAATTTGTCATTTCTGTGCAATTTCCACGTGAGGTTTCCTTTAACTGCATCAGCTCTGCCGTCGCCTCACAAGCATTTTGGCTCTTAATGCAGGCAGATCAAGTATATTGAATCATTTCTCTGTGTGTTCTCCTCACGCTGAGACCTGGTGCCATGTTGCTGGCGTGTGAAGGAAGCCAGCACAGATTTAACCTTGTGAGATGAATAGGGAAACATAACTAGTGTGTAGCGCAACACACGTGTTTGCATTTCTTATTCCATCCAAAGCGCCGTCACCTTGATGGATGACAGCCGTTCCCACTTAAAGCTCACTGTCACACGTGCACATTCACATGCAGCGCACCTCTGTAACATGCAGAGTGGATCTCGACTGTTTGTTGTAGATATAGTCAGAGCGTGCTAACACACGTAAGCCCGCGCTCCTTTGAATGTGTCTCTAGCGATCAGGGACTTCATGTGTTCCTGCGCTGATTCAGCTGCATGAACCAAATAAAAGACAAATGCAGAAAAACATCTGTCAGTAGTTGTTAACAGACACTTTGAGATTATTTAAAATCAAATTGAAATACTAGGGATCATTCGATCATTTGTTTTATTAAAAATCCTGAGTTAAGGTTTATTAGTTAAATCCCAGCTTCAGATTTAATAGAAACGAGCCAATTATGCAGATTTTTTTATACAAATTAAAACATTTACAATCTGCTTCACCTCTAACTACAGTTTCATCACAGAGCAGCGACACATACCAGACAAAATGAGATGTATTATTTTATTCCCTACACCCAGACATGGCTTGCGTAACTTGTCACGCCGATTGGACGTGAATGCCAGAAGCTAGCGTGACGTTCGGTCTTGTCGTTAACTGGTGTTTCATGCTAACGTTGGCGGGGCTCTCCGTTCTTCGCTGCTCGAAGGTTGGAGCACACCGGATGTAGAAACATTGCACCGCCCCTCTCGCCGCATCTGTTACACACGACATCTATTGCTTTTCTGTTTGTTCTGGGAGACAGATCCCTCACTTGCGGCTCATTCTGAGGTTTCTCCATTTAATTTCCATGTTAAATGTTTTTTGTGGGTAGTTTTGAACTTGTTGAGCCTGAAGTCACACACACATTCAACCGGTGCTTCTATATGCAGCACGTCATTCCTACATCCATGTCTTGTCCAAAGACACTTGGACTGGTGGAGCCAGGGATCAAACCACTGACCTTTTACAGTTCTCCCGAGCCGTGGCCACCCAGGGCGCTGCCTTAGAATATTATATGTCAGTGTGTTGTGCATTGTTATTTTTCCCTGATGTGATTCCTCTCTGCACTTCCAGGTGTACCAGTTTTCCTACACAGCGTTCTACATCATCTGCAGTTTGGAGACTCCGTAAGTAGACGACAGGGACATTTACACTCTGCCTCATTATCTCACTTGACCTCAGTCCCACCTGTCGTCAGTCCCGCCTCCCACAAAGCACCGAGGGCTGGTATAAAGTAAACTATGACCTGGCAGCAAGAAACGCCACAACATCTTCTGATCCTTCATCTTCTTACACATCTGTCCTCTCAGATAAAATTATAATGAGACGCTTTCAGATGCATATACACGATCAGATGCCAAACGAGCTTATTAGAGCGGAGGCCCAGCAGACAGACATGTTTTAACTACAAGTCTTCTTCTAACGTCAGTCCCCTGTCTGTCAGCGCCGTGTAGTTAAAATGTCAAGAGAGAGGAAGAGCCATTAGTGAAACACGACAAGTTTCCACTCTCAGCTGCATTTTACGTCCGCACCGCTCCGCTTAACGACGCAAGGACACGAGCAAACAATAAAGTCAAGCGCAAATAAAAACAGCGCAATTGTCAAGACAAACAATGAGCTCATCAAATGCAGAAGATTAAAAAGTTAAAATGACGGGAAGACGGAAAGGTAAACTAAAAGAAATGTATTATGCATGCATGAAAGCTATGAGTGTTTTTAGAGGGGATCTGATGTTTCCTGTCTTATCTCAGTTTACACAAGAATTTCACACATCAAACATCGCATTTGATTAAATCTATAGAACCGGGTGATGCTCATTTTGTTCTTTAAGTAGCCACCTCGCTTGTTTTTCTAGCCACACCAGGTCAGGGTACCACAGCACTGTCAGCAGCTCACCTGCTCAAATCTATTTGCGTGCTGCCACCCAGTGGTTACAAGCCAAGCCTCCCTCCACAAGCTGATGACCTCGTTCATCCTCAGCTCCAGGCAGACACAGAGGCAGTGGCACCTCTAATTCTGCAGCCTGCACTGCACAGCACTTTTCCCAATGAGTCGAGGTGACTCTCTTACAGAGTGTCGGTATTTATAGACACACTTAAACCTTTGTTCTCAGATGCTCCACGCTTGTTCTCCTGCCGCTGCAGTGCTTGCGGCGTACGACCACCGACGTGTTTGTGTCTGCTATCTGATATCGTTGTTTCCCCTCGTCTGTTCACTCCAGGGAGACGTGGAACTTGAACCCTCCGGAGGTGCGAAATGCTCAGCTGCAGTACGCGGGCTGGGGGCCCCAGGGTCAGCAACTGGTAAGAACTGCAATTCCCTCAAAGTCACTGCCTCATCTCCTTTATGCTGAGGAATCATCTGTCACACGTCTCAATTTCAATGCAATGAAAACTTTGAAAGTCTCTGATGCGGAGCCACTTTGCAGCTGATAAAAAAAAAACACTCTGCACGATTAGTTTCCTGCCACCAAAGACTAGTTGTCTCGAGATTTCCTTCATTTAAACTCTGATAAAACTGAAATAACTTGAATTGGGCCTGATAACAAAGAATCTTGTTATAATGTCTTATACTTAACTTCAGTCAAGCTTCTCTAAATCAATTACAGTTGGTTCAAAATGCAGCTGCCAGACCATTAACTCGAAGTAGCCGTTCCTCCCACATTACCCCTGTTCTCACATCGCTCCACTGGCTTCCTGGCACTGACCTTGCCCCCCCCCAATTACGTTTCTGTTCTCTTCGTTTCTTATCCCTATTCTCACCCACTGAGATCCTAAAAACTCTCTGCTCCATCCGTAAAACTAAAGCGGATCGTTGCCTTTGATTTTTTGGTCCCTCACTCTGGAATCATCTTTCCTGATCCCTATGCCGAGATGTCTGTACCCGTGTTTATGAAGCACTCTCTACCTTCGCCAGAGAAAGTTGCAGACAGACATAATTAGTTTGTACTATTTGTCTCCATGTGATTTAATTTTCCTCTGGAACAACTCCTGCGAGAAAAATTGTTAGCTTTTTTGCTAAAACCCGTCGGCCACACTTGTCATGTGCTGCCGGGCAGGTAGCGTAGCAGCTGGGAGTGACATTGATGAGAGAAGTGAGAGTTAAACCAGAGCAGTAAAGTTGCTGGCGGTAAAATCAAAACAATAAACTGAAAGATGCTAAAATGCACCGGCGCTTAAGGGAGCAACAAAAATCTCTATTGGTTTGACTCCAAGTGCAAGAAGTAGTTTGATCCATCGCTATCATGAAAAAGGGGATTGGAGAAGATTTAAGGTTTATTGTTTCGTTTGTGTTTCCAGTTATGTTCAGATGGATATGTCAGTTTTTATACAGATGCCTTTTCACCCAGGACGTTTTGTCCTTCGAGACCTGGCTAAAAAAATGCTGCTACTTCCTGGAAGAGACGCTCAAGCCCTCGATATCTCACAACTAATGGTGCATTCAGGTTCTCTTTGTAGAACCAGAAACACACAAACAGAAAAGTGACAACAAGGATCCAAGTTAAGGATAAATACTTTAAAATAATTAACAAGAACAAATTGTCAAGTTTATACCTGATTTCCATTAATATTCTCCTCCAGTGGCTTTTTTTTTTTTTACTGTTCCACTTCATGTAAACGATCGACTAGAAATTGATGAACCTGACAAACACTTGACTTTACGAGCTGACCAGGATTACTCGAATGCCCCAATGCATTTACCTACCGACCGCGGCACAATGGATTATGGGATTGTTTTATGGTAAGTTTTGACCTCAGACAAAATTCAGCCGGAACAAGGGAGCTCTCACTCGCAGCCCGACCCTGAGTTAATCTTTATTTTATCCCAGTCTTTGGGGTTTGGAATAGGTTTGTGTAAACCCTGTTGTCCCCCGGGCTGTGAAGCCTCCTAATGATTCGCTGAGATTTTCCAGCAAACAAAATTCAAATCAAACGCTGTTGTTTTGAATCACAAGAAGCAACCGTCGTTCCCGAGATGAGTCATCCGCCGTCTCATCATCGCAGCCGAACTTGTCGGAGCATTAATGAGCTTCACTCTGTTGGTTAGCGGGGCCGACAGACAGACTGTAAGTGATTACATCCTGCAGCACAATGCTATTAATTACCTGTTATCTCATCAGCGGATTAATTAACGCAGAAGCTGGATTGATATAGCCTCAAGTTTCCCACCGTTCGTCATGAAGTGGTTTCACTTGGAGCAGAGCAGGCGAGAGATGTTAGCGTGAAACTTTGCAGCAGCTGGTTTCCCCCCCTGAAGATTCAGACGTCCTCTGTCGGAGCGGCGAAGGTCGAAGTGAGAGATGTCCGTCAGATAAAATGAGCTCACGCAGCCATGCACCTTCACAATCAGACATCTATGCAGAAACTTGTCCAGCTGTCTCCCTGTTCCCAAATCCCTTATGCACATATTTACACTCACATGTGCAGCTGTCCTGCAACAATAAGTCATTTGTTCTGCATGTTTTTACATTTTTTAGATCCTCCAGTGAGTAGAAGTTTATTTCACTCTCCCTGTAGGCGTACATCAGAGACACCATGTGTGTGTGAGGAAGACGGAGAGAGAAAGAGACTGTGTCTAAATCACTAAGGAGTAAACGGTGTGGGTCAAAACTGTGGGAGAATTGGCTTTGTAGCGACATTTCATGGAGGCTAAAGTTGGTTAAAAGAGGCTTTTAACTTTTATTACTAAGAACTTAAGAAATACAGACGTATCCCTCTGGTAAGTTATCCTAGTCAACATGTCTACACACCCCATAATTCATCTGAAGACCTCCCCTGCGTGACCTAAACTTTATTCATGCAGCACCTTTCTTTTTTAAAAGCTTTAATAACAGAAAAATGGAGACAACACAAATTAAAAGGAGAGACTCTGCACTCTGCTTTAAATATCAGTTTGCTCGCATCAACTTTTCTGAGGAGAAATGTGGATCTTACACCGTCCTGCTGAGAACAGGGCCAGGTATTCTCTCCGTGATGTGGCCTAGATTAGCTTCTATACCGAGACGCCATCTGCACTGATGTGACCCCAAACCACACAGCCACCTTCTCCTCACTGAGACAGATATGGTGTTAGCTTTAGAGGAGACATTTGGCTATATGTACGAAATGATACTGTTTATTGAAGGACGTGTTGTAGTCTGCAGGATCGAGAAAAAACTCGACATGTGGCAACAAAGAAGAATTTCAGTTTTGTATTTCCTGCTCTTTCTATCATTTAGACCTTTTTTATTTAATCTTTCACAAACTGATACCACACTTCAAGCTCGAGGCCAAGACTTTCCACAATCCTTGAGATCCTGAGTGAGCTGTAATAGCCTGAGATTGATTTGAGCATGGCATTACATCTGCAACATTTTAAAATTCCAGCCCCAAGAGCCGCCCTGCCCCAGCGCGCTCACCGTGGCTGCTGCTGATCTATTATTCTGTTGAGTTGACCTTCAGTTATCCTGAAAGCCCTGCAGGGCCTGTGGCGGAGAGCGTCAAAGTCAGAACGCGGTCCCCAAAGCTTTGCCATCTTATCGGAATTTGAAACCATTTATTTATTTTTTTCCTCCCCTTTGTGCTTTTGTCAAAAATGTTGGTTTGCCTTGGATCAAGAGGCGCCATCGCAGACGTGTGCACTGATCTCTCGTGAGCGACAGGTGGAAGAGCGTCATGGCGATGTGCGTTTCGACCCCGAGGTTGATGTCGCCTGTGATAGCGTGATTTGTGCCTCACTCAGACATGTGTCAGTGTGGAAACCAGATTGTTCTGGGAATGTTGTTATTCACTGTGGTTCAATTAAGATCATCATCCTCAGAGCTGGAAAGGATTCAATGTTCTTGCACAAGGGCACTAAAGCAGAACAGAAACAAAACCCTCATCCTTTGAAGACAGTTAATCTCATATGTTGTGAATCATAATCTGGATTCAAGATGATCTCCTGTCTGTTCCTTGTAGATCTTCATTTTCGAGAACAACATCTACTACCGCTCGACAGTGGAGAGCCGCTCCATTCGTCTGGTGTCCACCGGGAAGGAGGGCGTCATCTTCAACGGGCTCAGCGATTGGCTCTATGAAGGTAAGGCAGAAAAAAAACAAAACAGCGCAGTTAAAGTAGTTAAAGGTCGAAATCACAAACAAACGCACTTATCTCACTTACCAGTTGTGGTGTTAAGCCCCTTTTTTTAAATGTGCCTCTGAAACTGCGCCTGAATGGATTTTTGTTTGTACAGCTCAAAGCAGAGAACATTTTAAAATAGAAAAAAGAAAAATAGCAGCGTGTCTTTGAAGAAACAGCTCGCTCTGGATCATCCACAGCCCAAACGCCAGCCTCACTCCAGACAAAAGCTTCAGCGCATAATGACGAGCGGCTCAAAGCTCGGATCGTAACAATACTAATTTCCTTATCCTCTCTGATATTTGTGATGTTTCTTATTCAGTGTCGGAGAGTTGAGTTTCATAAGCACTCAAATCAAATTTACACTATTTTTCTCCAGGGTCAAATTGTAGCTGCAGTACTTTAAAATACTGCAATCCCACTGGATGCATGTTGCAGAGGTTTGTGTATTCGGGTTCATTTAATTGAACTTTAGATTCACAATCTGGGTTTAAATCAGTAAAGCACTTGCCGCAGTCCAAGAAAACCCAGCCTCTCTCTCTCCATTGGAAATAATGGCTCCACTCTGAAGCTGCAATTTTGGTATAAACACCAGGTAAACCGCTCTGCAAGCAGTTTTTTCATTTTGACTGTTGCAGAAAGTAGCTGCAACTTGTTCCTGATCGGCCTGAATATTGTCTGAAAAGACTTTAAAGTCCGTGACAAACTTTGAGTTTTTATAACAGCAGAAGTCCTGGAAGCAGATGTGTTAAAATCCAGGGAAATAAAACTCTCTGACTATCTCAGAGACACTTAAATCAAGAAGATCGATCTATAGAATCTGTCCTTCCTCTGTCCCTCATCACTTTAATCTAAATACTCTTCAGGAGCACATGTTTTGAGGAGTCATGACAGACACAGTCCCCAGCGTCTGCAGCCATGTTAGTAATGTTGGCGCGTTGATTTCCCGCTGGTAAAATTAAAAATGTGGAGTCTGTCAACTCTCCTCTGCTCTACACAGCCCCCAAAAACAAATGAATGTTCTACATGGCTTGATTTGCATTAATTCAGCGGAGCAGCGTGTTGTGTACCCTCGGATACAGATGTCGTGTTGCTCTCCGAGCGTCGGCGCCACCGATCAAAGCTCACCTGACGGGAGGGGTGCTGTGTTAGCATTCAGCCAATGAATTTATATCCACGGCGCCGGGTTGTGCAGCCTCTGCTCCAGTTTTAAAAACAGAGCGAGAGGGAGATGATGGAGACTCAGCGATGAAGAGATAGAAGGAAAGGAGGGAGCCTATGATATAGAACAAGCCGTTAATCCTCCACCAACGCCATAAAACAACGCATAACTGTTTGATAATGGGAACGGCTGCCACCCGGAAGACACAGTGGATATCTGAGGTCACCGGTGCACCGGGACCAGAGCCGTGCATCCTCCGCAGGACCCGTCCCTGCTTTCATTCCACGTGGACGACCCACGGCTCCTTTTGATCTCTGCATTAGCCGGGCTGACACATCCATCCTTCAAGAGCGGCACCCGTTCTCAGCCATTCAAACATTAATCAGCACGATATCGCAGCGTCTGACCCCCCCCCCCCCCCCCCCCCCGGCTCATATTTATGGGCTGCTGAAGGCCTCGTAATTTACACTCATCATTTATCGAGCAGATAAATCTCTCAGCGGGTGATAAAACACAGAATCAGCTTCATAATGTTGAGATGAAAAATGAATCATAGAACAACAGAATGTGTTTATTTCTAAACTTATATTACTCGGATAGTGAGATTATTTCACATTGGAGGCACATTTTAAAGATATTAACCCTCGTGGAGCGCTGACTTGACACTTTAGATGTTTATGACTTGATGTTCTATTAGTTTTAGAAACATATTTTAACATTAACAACCCACATTTATATCTTCAACTAGTATGTTTGTGGTATTTTGGGTAAAATAATGGTTATTTTCCATATCTGATGTGATGTTTTTTGTGTCTTGTATGTTGGTGTACTACGTCAAGGTGAATGTAATGTTAACCAGAAACCAAACAATGGTATGGAAAACATTTTTTTTTCTGTTATATAAAGAAGAATTCATCACAATGCCTGTTGTGGTTTACACTGAATCCTTCTGTACCTTCATGAAGGTTGTAGTGTTCAGATTGTTCCCTTGTGCACAAACCAAGGTCAATAAAAGCTGTTTTTCCCACTTTGGTTTTGAAAGAACTTGGCTGACCTGCACGTCGCCATGATCTTGACCTCACCCACCAACCTAGAGGTGAACCGCATCGCCGGCTGGGAGCCAGACCTTACAGTTCAGGATCATGTGAGGGTTCCTCAATGACGCTCCTGGAGCTGAACTGAAAACCAGAAGAGTTGAGGGTGTTGTTCTGGAGCAGCAGGTTAACGCTCAGGGTTTTGAAATGAGACGTTTAATACTTCCGCGTCAAATATCGTTCATTAAACATTTTTACTGAATTCCCAGGAATTGATTCATGAATCTTAATGGAAATAATCTCATTTAGGGGACTGGTATCTGTGTGTGTGTGCAATATGTCGCAGCTTGATTGGTTTGATTCACTATTGATGATGCATCACGGTAGAAATAATGTGTCGTTAAGCCTCTAAATAGATTTGGCGCCGGCCTGGTAGTGACGCCAGCAGCTGCAGGGGAGCTTAGAAGCTGTGCGAGATTGTGTAATATTTATTCATTCATCAGTGAGACTGCAGGGCAGACGATTTTCCCTGTTAATGACTCAGACTCTGCTCCGGCCAAGGTCAAGCTCAGGCTCAGACTGCCGGCGAGGAGAAATTAGGTCCTAAGCTCTGCATGTCGCAGCGCTGCAGATTTGACGCTGAGGGGTGAGAGGTTGGCAAATAATCCCCCGGGTTTGAATATCCTCTGGTTTACATCTCTGTCTTAATCCCCGTTTGTGTGTGTTTGTGTGCATGCAGGGGAGACAGGGGAGGGAGAGATGGGAGAAAAGAGAAAAATTAAAAGCTAAATTAAAAAAGAGGAGATGAAGCCAAGAGCCCCGTCGGCTGTGTGTAATAGTCCAGAACGCCTCAGGAGAGTCTCGAGTGTTCTGTCATCTGTCGGCTGTCTGATTATCGAGGCTGCAGAGATACCGACACATCCTGCAGTGTGACGCAGCCGCAGGAAACAGCTGTTTATTGGGCTCTGGTGCAGCGAGATAAAAACCCGGCGTGGCTTTGATTTGAGTCATGTTTGCCCCATAGATGTTTGGCTAAATGACTTCTTGTATCGAGAGGCTTGTTTGTAGGTTTGTTTCTGTTTATCGCTGTGTTTGTGTCAGAGGCTGCAGGGCACGGAACAACCACGGAAAAAACACTGGTGCACCAGGAAAGGAAAGATTAATCCAGGGAGTAAAACAGTTGGTATTTAGTTCAGTGTGAAACTGAGACACACGGTTGCAAATGGAACTTTTTCTCAGACAGTTTTGAAGGTTTGGTATCAGTTTCTTTGATTCTGTCACTGAAGGATCCTCCTGAACACGTTTTAGAAGCGATTAAATAAAACTGAATGTGCAAAGACAGTTTTAATTTAAAGCTACACCCTAATAACCCTTGGAAATCATGCAGCAGAAACACTAAAGTAACAGGTCTATGAAGCTGAAAGCAGCTTAAGAAATCCTGTTTGAAATTCTTCAAACAAAGAAATGTCACATGCAAAAGTTGAGTGTTGCTGAAGCAGCAGATTCCTGTGATATCCTGACATTTAGTTTGTGGTGATGTTGAAGCTGCAGAAATCCTGGATCCTGCATTTCCCATAATGCATTAGAGCCTCACTATTTCTTCCACAGTCAGGACAAGATAACCCTCCACAGCACCAGACATTAAACGGCTGTTTCAGAAGCTTTTCATGAGCTTCACGTGTAAAATTATTGTAAAAATACAGAAATGTCCCTTTTTTCTTTTTAGAAACTTCGTCAGTAGAACTCCTGCAGTAGCTGAATCCTTCCCTGAACTTTGTGTGTTTTTATCTTCTGCTTAATCCAGACCTGCAAAAACAACTCATCCTAATCACATTTTCTTCCTGCGTCATCCAGCGATGATTTTTCTCTGCACTGAGGCACAAATTGCTGATGAGGCTTAGTAGAGTAAAATCTCACCACGCTCGCTCAGTTATCACCGGCCCTGTCACCTCCGTCAGCGCGCTGGTAACTGAGCTGTATTTATAGTAACAGCTTTTCTTTTTTTCTGTTTTGCATTTTGGATGGAAAACAAGATCATCATCTTTTCATCTGACCGGCGGGGGGGGGTGTGTCCCCGCTGTCAAATGAACACTAAGAATTACAACAAAAGCTGCGTCCCTCGCTGCTTCATGCATCGAGCCTGTGACACTGCTGCCCCCTGTTGGAAACATGCACTCACTTTTTTTCCACTCAGTCAATTCAGATTCCCAACGTAAATTTGTGAATTCCTGCTAATAGCAAAGTATGAGCCGAAAGCCGCCTGGGAAGTTTGATATTCTTTTCTCTTCCTCATTAGCTCGAGCTGTTTACCTGAAGCTGTCACCTTGTGCTCATTATTTCCCATCGGCCTCTTGACTCCTGGTATCTCATGCATTAATAATATCCTCCACTCAGTGAATAATGTAGTCTGCGCAGTGGGACCGAGGATGAGGAGGGAGGAGATGAGCCTCAGACAGCTCACCTTGGCCGTCGTCACCATGAGACGCCACCTCATTACTTAAGAGAAAGAAGATGAGCTCATCAAAAGTGGTTCATTTTCACTCCCTGCTCTTTTGTCTCTTCGTTTTCTTTTGTTCACATCTAAGGACGCTTCGAGAAACTTAACGACTCTCTCCTTGACAAGTCAAGGTGACTGGGCGTCCCCAGCCGAGCGAATCCGACAGCCCGGCGGTTCCACTCCACATGGAAAGCTTTTTAAGGTGCCGGGCTCTCGGAGTTAGGAGGCGCCGGTGGAGCTGTCCATGCGGGAAATGGTTTTTTTATTTTTATTTTTTTTTCATCATTGCTAATGCCGGGCTGTGCTTCTCTGTTCATCACCAGGCAGTGAGATCCATTCAGTCCCCGCTGAGCTCTGTCAGCAGGGTGCAGGTGACCAACCACAGGCCAGGAGAGCAAAGACTGACCCGACTAAATGCTGCCATTAGCTGTATTTCTCCCGAAGCCACGAGCATAAAGATGTCTGCAGTTATAAATACTTTAACAGAGTCCGGCAGAAGTGCATTAGAGAACAAATATACATAAGTGCTGCGGGTGATTGTCAAATGATGCTGCATATCAAGTCATTCCACCAAGCATGCACAGTTAATGAAAATGCTAATTGGTGGTTGATGTCTGTTAATTCCCCAAAGCCAGCAGCACCCAGTCCTGCAGATAAACAGCATTAATGAAATTTTAATTGCAAAAGTTGATATAAACGTAGCTCGTGGCGGATTCGAACAGGAAGTCGGGCGATTTCGACGCCGTCTGCGTCGGCGCTGAAGACTTAATGATGAAGTAGAATCGTCGCTTTATGTTGTAACAAAGTTCCCTCGGAGAGATGTCGTTTGCATAATTTCTTAATGAGCCACTGTGTGTTGACAGAGTCGTGTGTGTGTTTGTGTGTTTGTGTGAGGTCCAGGTTGTGTTGTGTAAAAACCTGTTAACACAGTTGCATTTTGAGGACTTCAAGTCGAATTAAGTCCCCATCACGTAAATCATAAAACTTTAGGTGAGGACAAGTAGTCAAGTTAGTTTAAGGTGAGATAAGTGGTAACTATGGTTAAAGGTTAGAGTCAACAGGAAATCAATCTCAAGCTAATGTAATGTCCTCTGAAGACATTAAGACACAATTATTTTTGTTTGTGTGTCTGCTCATGGCCTCAATTTTTACTTTGTCCTGTAGAGTGGCTGCATAACTTTATCCACACGTGTCTCAAGGGACAGAGTTTCTTGATGAAATCACACACACACACACACACACACACACACACACACACACACACACAAACTAAAGTTATCTTTCTAAGTGCGCTGTGCAGTCGCACCTGGTGGGGAATTGCTGTTCGGTCCATTTGTGGGAAATGTAGCCGGGGTCTATTTTGGTCGATGTGCGGCTGTTCTGAGATTAAAAGCTGCTGTGATTTATGACCCAAGCGTTGGCTGCGGAGTACGCTCCTGTGTTCAGGTTTTAAAAAAAAACAAAAAACAGAGTGAGTGAGAGAGTGCACACAGAAAACAGGTCAGACAAGAGGAAGCAGAGCGGATCACTTTTTCTTTTTCGCCACCTTGACCTGATTTTAGCAGTTTTTTCGTCCTTTTAATTGACTTTAACTGTTGTTTCCTATTTTTACAACTCACAGACTTAAAGCAGTAAAATTACTGTGACAACATTTATGAAAGAAGAATTTATTGAGCTTCTGAATGTGCCACTAATGACACTGCACGTTTTAAACATTCTAAACCACACTTCCCCACATCACCGGCTCATTTCCAGCTCTGACAGGTAACGGCGGTGTCGTCCTGCTGGCCGGCAGCCACGTCGTTAATTTACGACGCTGCTGCGAGTTTTTTTTATTCCCTGTCCTTGTGATTGATGGTCATTTTATTCTGACTGTTCCAGAGGAGATCCTGCGCTCCCATGTGGCCCATTGGTGGGCTCCAGATGGAGCCAGGTTAGCGTACGCCACAATCAACGACACCCTGGTGCCCAGGATGGAGCTGCCCATGTTCACGGGCACACCGTACCCGATGGGGAAAGAGTACCACTACCCTAAGGTTGGTATTTTAGCCTTTTGCATCACTGATACTTAATATTTCACACATTCTGAGTGCAAACGTGAGGAGTTGTGTGTTTTAGGAAACTGTAGTTTGGTTTGTTTGTGTTTTGTTGTTGTTCACGAAGCAGTTTGTTGCTCCTCTCTTCGTCAGGCTGGTGAAGAGAATCCAGTTATAACTCTGTACGTCGTGAACCTTAACGGACCTCTTCACACCATCGAGATGAGACGACCCGATGATCCCAGGATAGGGTGAGACGTCCAAAATGTCCACAAATCAAACCTTCAACCCAATGAGTCGGCGGCTGGAGGCATTACGTTTCTGTGTGTCAGTCCTTCTCACTCTTGTGAAGTGGATCTTTAAGGGAATTCCTTCAAATTTGGTACGAACTTTCTTTTTGCCTTGTGAACACAATATCTCTGGAACTCCCTGAGGGAATCCTTTCACATTTGGAACAAACTTTCCCTTGGACTCAAGGATGAACTGGTTTTATTTTGCTTTGACTGCAGGGCCATATTTCTAGTTCTTGTATGAGTCACACCAGCTGTTACACACACCTCCAATCTCGTATCATTGTCTGGACTCCAGTGTGTGTTTGTTGTTATTGAAAGAGGACATTTATCAACCTAAGGACTTTGGCATTTAAATGATTTGTGTGTTATTTTGTTTGTAGATTCAACTTAGGAACATATTTGAAAAAGAAATGTACATAAATTAACATCCAGGGTTCACATATGTTTTCTTGCTGCTGTAGATTCTGGAAATTCTATTTCTCCAGTGATAGATTTCACCTAATGTGGTTCCATGTTCAATTCCATTAAGTTTAATGTCCTCATTTGCTCTGGTCGTTTTTCTACCCATTTTATTATTCCTCCTTTGCTGTGGCTCATTATACGACTGTATGCTGCTCTAATATCTCAATTTCTCGGCCAGACATCATAAATTATTCATCTCTTTTTAAAATTCGATCATGATCTAAAATTAGTGAATGGAAAGAACATTTTGGAAAAAAATTCCGTTCGTAATCTAATTTTCGAATATTTTCATTAACCTACTAACATTGCTGATTCACAGACCTTGAAGTGTAAATACAGTAAACGTGTCTCTCTTTGTTAGTGAATACTATGTGACCATGGTGAAATGGGCCACCACCACCAAACTGGCCATCAACTGGCTGAACAGAGCCCAGAACATCTCCATACTCACACTGTGCGAGGCCACAACAGGAGTCTGCACCAAGGTACGACTGAGTCCAGTGAGCATGTTACGAGTGCTGCATGTTTTCATGCACCGAGTGAAAACTGTCCCGCTTTTATTTTCAGAAACACGAGGATGAAAGTGAAGGATGGCTGCACAGACAGGTGAGATATAGATATAGATATAGATACACTTATTTTTGAGGTTATTGTGTTAACCTTGTGTGGGTTTAACAGATTAAAGCCTTGTTCTGCACATAATTTTGAAAAATGACAATGTTGCTGGCTTTTGTAAAATGTAACTTGTTAATGTCTTCAGAATGAGAGGCCTCTGTTTTCCAAAGATGGTCTCAAGCTGTTCTTCACTCGAGCCATTCCTCAAGGAGGCAGGGGCAAGTTCTTCCACATCTCCATGTCCATCTCTCAGGTACACGGATGTTTATGTGGAGATTATAACTGACAAAGTGATAAAGCTCAAGTTTTCCACAAAAAAACCTGAGGTTCTTTTAAATTTGGTTGGTATTTTCTTGATAAATAATCTTTTTGGGTAGCTGGTGACTTTCAGCATGTTCATTTACAAACGTACTGATGTAAAAGTCTAAGTTATTTTATCATACAAACTATAACTATCTTAACATGTACTTGATATTATGAACTAAACTTTGACTCTTTCTCTGTTTACTGTTCTTCAAAGCCCAACACCAGTACAGACACTCTGCAGTCCATCACCTCTGGAGACTGGGATGTCACCCAGGTCCTGGCCTACAGTGAGGAAAGCCAGCTGATGTGAGCACCCGCAAATATCTACCTCACTCGCAGCAAACTAAAGTCACATTAATGCAGCATAAATTAATTTATTGAACACTTATTAAGTCCTGTCAAGCCGCCGTTCTCGTGGAGTCTAGGCATGTGGAGGCGTAAAGAATTTATTCTCTCTGTAACCTTGGCTTGACACGATAATCATGTCAGCTGTGTCTGAAGTGATTAGGAACCACGACGTGACACATGAGGAAATAACTTTTATGTGCTGGCAAGAACCGCACACGCAGCTCGAACACGAAACAAAGTGATGATTCAAATCCTTTTTTTTTATTATTATTCAGAAACCTTTTTAAAACCGTTTTCTTCCTTCAGATATAAAACTGTAACACACCAGTTAGTGATAGTTGATGAGGAAGCTTGAAAATGAGAGAGCAGGTAATGGGAATTGATTTTCAGCACCATGGACAGAGAAAGAGAACACATGTTTAAATGGCTTCTCTGTCTCTGTCCGTGGTTCTGAAACCCAGATCCCCTGGTGGTGATGCTGTTTATTGTCAATCTGTGAAGCCGTTACGGTCCTCGACGCGTTTACAGCCCTGATGCTACATTTTGAGAAGGCGCCCACTCTTATCGTCTATTGTGCCCGAGCCCCGTGTTCCTCCACCAGCTCATAGATTTACAAACAATAAACTGCTCTGAATGTGTTCGGTGTAAAAGCTCCCTCTGTCTCTGCTGCACCCGAGAGGAGTGTGACTCATCGCCGTCACTCCCAGATAATTTCACTCCCACGCTCAAGGCCAGGAGGCAACTGCGATCCGACTAACATGAGTGTACAGAAACACAGTCACTCTTTTGTTCCCAGTGTTGACTGAACTGTACCAACAACAAAAAAACCCTCGTCCCCACAGGCTTAGGATTTCACCTACTTCTTTTCTTTAAAGGATTCATTCCCCTTTTGTCCTCCATCATTGATTCATAAGGCTTCTGTCACTGTGCATGTTCTATTTAAATCTAATCTAATGTGTTTTTCTGTTTGCATGAACTCAGATACTTCTTGAGCACTGAGGACGGTCCAAAGCGAAGGCATCTGTACAGGTAACCGCTGCTCCTGTGGCATTTCTACAGATTGGTTTTGACAGTGAAAGCCGCTGACGTTTTGCTTATATGGGTAAATTTAGAATTCTGCAAAACATTAGCTGTATTCTTTGTTTTCTTAGTGCCGACACTTTTGGTTCGTTCAACCGTCGCTGCCTGTCCTGCGCCCTGTCCGACAGCTGTGGCTACATTAGCGGCTCCTTCAGCCACAACATGAGCTATTTCCTTCTCAACTGCCAAGGTAGCTAACACCGCATGTCTCCTTTCTCTCTCTCTCTCTCTCTCTCTCTGCAACTCTCTGTTCATCCTAACGACTTTATGAAGGCAAGCGGGGCTGTAGTTTAACAGCACGGTGCAAGGTCTGCTTTTATTATGAGTTCAGCCAATGACGGAACATTCTGAGGGGGATTCATTAACATTTTAATGCTTTACTACACGATGACATTTTTATTGCTGTGCTATGATGTTATAGTTGATTTTCTTCAGCAACAAAGTCAAACTATATTTTATTACAACTAATACAGATTAGTATTAAACCTTTCTATTATTCTAATAATTCTTTCCACACACACTAATAACACATGTTGGCCAAACGTGCCAAATTTAGCATCTCATTTTCAGAACATAACTCAGAAACCATTTCTTAAATTAAACTTGACGTGTTTAGAGTAAATAAAGTAGTACCTGTTAATGTTGGGTTTCATAAATTTTATTGTATTATAACACTGGTTGGTGAAGGCATACAATCTAGTTTTCTGTGTTTTCAACAGTTTGACTTGGGTTGGCATTGAAAGTAGAACGGAACAATATCAAAATGTCATCGCTCTGTGTTCAAAATGACACAAAAATAGACCCGAGGTGTCAGAAGATTCCTGCGTCTGTGATCTGAGTCAGACTTGAAGCCTCAGAATGTAATCACTGATCAAACAATCACCTCTGAACCAAACTAAGTGAACTCAGATCAGTACGGCCGTAATAAATCAATGAGGAATTTGTGTGATGAGGTTATAATATCATTACCGCGAGAAGAGAGAGGAAGAAGAAAGCCTCCGTGTTTCTGCGGACCGTTCACAATTTGCTAAGTGCATCAGTCACTCCGTTCGCTGTCCCTCCTCGGGCCTCTTTGAGGCTTTAGAGGGACTTTGCTTGTGGCCTAGATGTGGACGAGCTTTTCCAGCTGATGCTTTACATAAACCATGTAACCAACGAGTTGCCTTTGTCTGGCGGATAAGTCTCTGGCTCGTCTGACGCCAGTGAGCATTCGATGATAAATTTAGACTAAAAAAAAAAACTTTCAAATTGAGCAGAATGAATCTTTTCCTGGTTTATGATGATGATTTTCTCCTCAGGCCCCGACATCCCGTTTGTGGCCATTTACGAGACGCAGAGAGACGCGGAAAGTGAGACGCAAGACAGAGAAAGTGAGTTTTTCCACCGACTGAATCACACATTTGCATTTTTAAGACTCAGAATGATTTTTAGAGACGTTACGAGTCCGTCTTGTTTTCATCTGCATAGCAGCGACATTGGAAATGACCTTGTCCAACAGGGACGTGTTTCCACTGCAGTGACAACCTGTGCACTGAGTCATCGTTTGTCCAAGAGCCAAGTCCGGCTTGATGGAAGTAATCACATTACTCCTCACAATGGATGTACTCATTAAATTATGAGCTGCCCAACAGCAACATCAGCATGCTGTAATTTCATTACACAGTGTGTGTGTGTGTGTGTCATGTTTTATCAACATGATGTCGCCGCCCTCACTGCGTTAAAAGTCTGCCGTTTGATTTTATTACTGCCGATTATGCAGCTGTTTATTTTGTGGGTAATTCAGTTTATTCACTTGTACGGGTTGTTTCCACACTGACAGGTTGTTCTGCCGTTAACATCACTGACATTTTTAACGAACGCAACGTGTCGTTGGGAGACTGTTGATCAGTGAACGCAGAGCGACGCTGCCTGCGTTCATAGTGTTTCCTGTTTCCCCTCTGACTTCAGCTTTCATTGCTATCAAAGGCAACGAGCCGGCTGCACAAACCACCTGTTACCTGCTGAATAGGCACAGCTGCTTTCTCTTTTTTAGGACAAACTCCGGAGAATCCAGGTCACAGATTCAGCTGCTCTCATTTCTGTTTTATTTATTTATTTATGTCTGGTGTGGATTAGTCGAGGTTCATGTTGTAGGATTGGAAAGATTCTGTGTGTGTGTGTGGGGTTCACACATTCTTTTCAATATTTGAATTAATGAACAAAGAAAGAATCATTGCAGTCAGGTTTTTATTGTCACTTTCAAATCATCAAGGTGATAAATATGTGAAAATTAACAAAAGAGCTGAAGAAGACTGAAACACATTTTCTGTTGTTTAAAAACTTTTAATATATTTAGTTTGATATTAAGTTTTTTTTTTATTGTTTGTCTTTCTTTAATTAAAAGGTATAATTTGAAGTTACTGGGTTGCCGGGGATCACACAACAATAACTCACCGTGGTCTCAGCTGAACTTTAAACCACGTATAAATTATAAACTGGTTTCTTATTTCTTGTCTGCAGGTATCACAGAAGTCTATAAACTGGAGAGCAACGAGAACCTGAGGCTGACCTTGGATTCCATGCAGATGCCCACGGTGGAGTACAAGGAGATCAACATGGATGATTACAGTACGTGTTACACAAAAACGTGGAAATGAAATAATGTAAAATATCTCTGTGTCTGCGTTAATGTAGAAATGTGTTTTAAAATTTGGTCACATGTTCATTTAAGTTACAATAACGACACATCGGAGTCTAAGTTAACGATCACTGTCACGTGAGCGTAAGAGAGATCTCAGAAAAAGTACCGTCCAGAATTGAAAATGTGCATAAAGTTTCTGCGGAGTCAAGTCTTCTCCGAGGATATAAGGATATTATGTTCACAGTGACACGACAGCAGAAAATGCTCTGCAGAGAATAACATCACTTAGTTCTGTACGAGGAGCGAGCAGCTGCTGGAGGCACTTATTTGAAGTTATTGCTGCCAAAGGAGGTTCAACCAGTTATTAAAATCTAAAGGTGCACCAGCGCTGTCAGTGTTTAATGGATGTGTTCAATAAAAACCCAAAAGATAATAAGATGATATATAAGATGCGACTCAGTTATTAGCTTATTGTTTTTGTCTATTCTACTGATTCTCTCATTTCATGACACATGAATGTAGAAAAAAGCAATTTTATATTTTTCTCCCGCTGTGTTAAACTGTGATGTTTTAATTATAATTTAATCTGAAAACACATCAGTCAAGCTGCCATGAGGGTAGAATCTTTTTTTACTTCCTGCAATTAAAATGTTTCTCATTTGTTTTAGCGGCTCTCAATTAATTCGATTTCTGAAAAATACATTAGTTGACGCACAGCTTGTGATTATTGAAAGATAGCGAAAATGTAGAAGTATTAATTAAATGTTGTGTTTTATCAGACTTCATTGAAGTGTGTTTATTTTGTTGTGTGTCTGCCTCACAGCTTTGTCGATGCAGATCCTCAAGCCCGCAGGCTTCGTGGAGACGTCGCACTACCCGCTGCTCCTGCTCGTGTGAGTATCTGCACGTTTTCACGCATCGGAGAAGTTTGCGCGATGTGTTGTTCTCGTCGACGGACATTTTCTGGACAAAACTTTAAGCAGACGTATTAATCAAACACAAGAATGTGTTGTCTTTAGATGGATAATGATTTCACTGCGGAGGAAACTTTCCCTGCTGTTCTTCTTATTCTTTCATTAGCGTTTTGTTATTTTACTCTGTAACTCACATCTCAGCTTGGCCTTCTGTGCTCTGCATGAACACGTCTGACTCCCTGCATGCCACATTTTTTTTAATCCTAAAAAGTTTACCAAGATTTCTTGTCTGAGAACATTTTGTGAAATCTTTGGTCAACTTTCCAATCCTGCGTAATGATGCCAGAGAACCCATCATTAAGAAATACAACATGATATAATATACACACTTATATTTATACTTCAATTCAAATAAAACAAATAGAATGTAGGGAACAAACTTTTTTCTGTAGAAGTGTGTGTGTGTGTGTGTGTGATCAGTCTGTGCTTGTTAATGTGCAGCGATGGGACACCTGGTGGTCAGATGGTGTCAGAGCGGTTTCTCATGGACTGGACCACGGTGCTGGTGAGCAGCTTCGGCGCCGTGGTGATGCGCTGTGACGGACGGGGCAGCGGCTTCCAGGGAACCAACCTGCTGCACCGCATCCAGAAGAAAGTGGGCGTGTTCGAGGAGCAGGATCAGAAGGATGCGCTCAAGTATGTGCAGAGCGTTTTCATCCGGTCTTCCTGAAAACACCAAGAGTAGACGGGTGTTAAATAGATATTTGGATTCCAGAGATTTGTTTAGGACAATTAAAAGAAAACATCATTATAGAAGATGTTTAAAAAAAATTTAAATATGGATTGAGTAACTTAAAAGGTTGCAAAAACAATATGACCACGCTTGCTGTTTTGTTTTTATCTGTGTATCACTTTTCAAGTTAACTTACTGAAGCAACGGAATGATTAAAAGTTCCTCAAAAACAAGTTATATTACGACAAACGATTGATTCCCTGACGTGAGCCTATGTTTGTCTGTTGCAGTTTTATTTTGAAAGAGCCCTATATTGACAAAACCAGAGTGGGAGCTTTTGGACAGGTAAGAGGGCGTGTCAGTGTGGAGCTGAGAGGAATCGAACATGTGTCTGTGAACATTAAGTTCTGTTGACGTCACCATCTGTGATAACGTGTGTGTGTGTGTGTGTCAGGTATATGGCGGCTACGTGACCAGCTTGTTGGTCAGCGGCGAGGAGACTCCAGTGAAATGTGGAGCTGTGCTGTCGCCCATCACAGACTTTGAATTATACGGTGAGCGGTTTGCAGCATAATGTTACATCTGTATTAACATCTGTGTCGTAAACAAATACAGTTTTCTCCGCTGCGGCCGCGCTGTCGGGAAGTCGTCAAAAAAAGAGGGAAACGATGGAGAGATTGTGAATCTGTCACCCGTAACCCTGCAACTGGAAGTTAAATATAAACATGAACAGCGTGAGGAAAGAGCCGGTGCAGATACACAGAGAACCCAATCAAACAACCACCCGGGCCTCACCTCAGCTACCAAAGGAATAAAATGTGTGAAATGCAGAATTGTGCGTGAGAGGAGGGTGAAGGAGAAAGAGGGATGGAGAGAGGGATGGAGGACGACAGCAGTTTTGTAGCCGTAGATTCACCGAGTCAGGAAACGGCAAATTAAGGAGTGGCTGGTTTTGGCGGTGGGACGAATTTCTCATCTATTTGATTTCTCTCGCTTTGCCGGAGGGGGCGAGAGACACGCGGTGACACGGTGTGAGTTTAGAATTGCAAATGATGTCGGTCAACGGCAGCTTAGAGACTTAACAGTATGTTCATGTGGGAATATATTTGAATGTGGAGAAGAAAAACCTGAAAATGTCGACTTCAATTCCTCAGAATGTTCAGAGAAAAACTTGAATTTTAATTTAAAGACAAGTACTAATTGCATCCCTTATTTCCAGCCTCTGCATTTTCAGAGAGATATCTCGGGTTGCCGAAACCTGATCCACGCGCATACGCAGTAAGATTTCATTATTTCAATTTTCACATCTCAAATTCCAGTTGATTATTGTGAAATCCAGCTGATCTCATTTGCTTCTGTGTGTCTTTTACTCTGCAGATGGCAAATTTAGCACATAGAGCTTCTCAGTTCATGGACAAGAAGTTTCTAATCATCCATCCGACGGCTGATGGTAAGTCGAGAATTATTGAAACGCGCAAAGAAAATATTAACGAGAAAACGTAAATCTCTCGAGTTTTTTTTTCTTCTGTATTTGCAGAAAAAGTTCATTTCCAACATACGGCAAAATTCATCGCACAGCTCATCAACGAAAAGGCCAACTACACTTTACAGGTACGTGGCTCTACGCTGCACATCCACTTACTCTCTCCGCTCGTCTTTCTTTCCCTCGTTCACTAAGTCTCAAACCTTACGGGACGTCTCGGTTCCAGCGAGGATCCCGGAGCAGGCGGAGGATTAGCCGCTAACAATGCCTTTATTCCACATAATGAGATTATGAGACCTCGGTGGGCAAACTGCATTAACACCAGCACTAATCCAATTACAGTGAAGAGCGGCTGGGACGTTCATCGGAGCTCGTTATTGACCAGCGGACGAGTTTCTTTGCTCACAAACATTGACCCGGTTTCTCCAGCAGCTTCTAATAGATGTTAGGTCAACACGAGTAAACACGATTACTCAGTAAAAAATGTGTTAAGCTCATGAAATGAACGTCCCATTGGTGCTGAATTCATTTCTGATTTAAAGAAAATAAATTATAATTTAAAGGGGATTTCTTTTTTTAATTGAAAACCAGTTGATTGGACAATAAATGACTAAAACTTGAGCTTTTTACTTTAGTTTACACTAGTTGGCACAGCTGTTCAACTCCTTATTTCCTACAATAGAAATATATATATATATATATATGTTTAGGGTTGTTAGAAGAATTCAAACTTCAATACTATATAATTCCAAGTGTTTAACAATCAGATTTTCAACCCCAGGCTGAACTAAAGGGTTAACATAACTGACCTCAACCGCTTGGTTTTTTATGTGTACATCAATCCCTCACGTTTTTAAAGAAAAGTATTAGATGAACAACTTTTTTCTTGTTATTGTGGTATCGTAAGTAGTATGAAGTACTTTATGGTGTGTTTGTGAGATCTTTAACAAGTTGTGTAATAATGTTCTCACCGTCCTCTTGTGGTCTCAGATCTACCCAGACGAAGGCCACTTCATCCACAGTGAAGCCACGAGGCAGCACCTCAGTCAGTCCCTGGTGAACTTCTTCGAGGAATGCTTCAGGCTACCGGAGCGAGTGTTTGAGGAGGCTCTGGAGGAAGAGAGTGAAGATGAGGGTTAGCTTGACCTTGCTGGGCTCCTGCGCCCCAGAGCCTCCCCGCCCATACAGTCATCCACCACAACACTGGCGTCCAATAGTCCACAATATGCAACTCTCATCTGCTCTTTCCATTCGTTTTGGTTTCACATTTGGACTCTGTCCGTGTCCACATGTCGAACTTGAACTGCCCCCTCCAGCAGACGACGGATCTACTCCTGCGTCCCTCCTCCTCGTTTTGTGCCCTGAGTTTGAATCCAAAAAGCCGACAAAAGACCGCCGACTTGACGCGATGTTTTGGAATATACTGATCGACGTGACAGGAAGCAGTCTCCTTCGCAGCAGGACGGACCAGCTCCTCCAGAGCAGTGGAGAGGAAGCATCGGCTCTCACACAGACTTTGACGCTGTGAGGAGAAGGAACACCGTGCAGCACATAACTCGAGGGCTTGTATATTGATGGAAATCAGACGCCCGGTGGGGAAAAAAACGCTTCTGTGGGGCATCTGGAATCGTGCGGATGCAGGAAATGTAACTATTTTTAAAGTCGTGAAGAACTTTCCTTGTTGGACTGTGGTCGTGTCCGTTGTTCTTATGTAAAATAGCACACAAACGTTCACTCAGCTATTACGGATACATTTTCTTTTTGGATTTCATGTTTGCCCTGATGTTGGTTTCATCTTGTTGCCTCATGTATTCCAGTTGAAGCTGTCTGAATTCTCTAGCTGGCAAATTGTTTGGAAGAAAAGAAACTATTAATGTTCATTTTAGATTGTTTTGACCTGGATTTAACAAACGATCTTAAAAACAGAAACTTGTTTTAGTCACTGTGCCTTACTTTGTCAGAAAACGTCCTGCTGTGGGATTCATTTTATTGGAGTGGTTTGATGTTTTGGGAAATTTATTTATTCGCGATTTCTTCCTAATCGTTTCAGTCACGACAAAAACAAAGTTACGGCCACCAGCTAATTAGCCTAGCGTAAAGACCGAGGCAGAGCTAGTTAGGTGAGTTAGCTGTTGATCTGCAAACTAGCTTAGCTAGCAAGGAAATACATCTTCACACGTACAGAACCTGCATGCATCATTGTGGTGAAGAAAACGTTTGAGCGCTTCACAAACCACAGTGTTTGTTATCGAAAGTTACTTAAACTTAAATCTGTGAATGTCGAACACGTAGGCGTGTTACATCCTGAGAATTTACGCATTTGTATATAAGGGAAAACTTGTTCTCTTTACAGCCCGAGTCATTGAAATACAGAATATAAAATGATGAATTACTGAGGCACAAGTTTCATTTCCCATTTTTCTAATTTTTTCTTTTTAATTGAATGGTCATTCGTGTTTCGTTTCAGTGCATGTTCAGAGGTTTTTTGCAGCACTATCCCTGATCAGTTCCACATGGTAATTTTGACATCTTGAATGTTCCTTACTGGATTGCATAAATTACATTTCCAGTAGTATTGTGATTGAGAACCCAGTCTCGTCAGCTTGATGTGTAAATGTTATTCAAATATCATTTTATTCTAAATAGAAAAAAAAACAATATTACCTGAGTGTTATTTGTGCATAAAAGCATTTTGGAAATTACATTTGACTTTTCATTTCTCTTCTCCTGTTGCTGTCCTTGACTTTATTGGAAGTGGACTTTATAAATGCCGATCGTAAAGTTGAACTCTCTTGTCCGTGGTTGAGGACTTTTTCAAGAAGCTTCTATGCTTTGTAATCCAAAAGCATAGAAGGAGATTAATGGCAGATTGTGGCATGAAGGTAAATGTTAGAATAAAAAATAGATATTTTATCAGCGTACAATGTTTTTGACTCATTTGTTTTATTTCTGATTCTTTGTTATATATTTTTTGGAAGTTCACAGCAAAACAAGTGTCACATAAAAGGTAATAAAGTATTTCATTCATTAAAAACACACTGAATGATAAAAGTATGCATTGATGCATTTCTTTACAAATGTATTGATTTATAAATAATTTGATTAATAATTTAATAAAATGATTTTTCAAATTATTGACCTAAATGTATTAAAGCACTAGTTTATAATTTACATCCAATTTTAGACTTTGAAATATTTTATGTTAAAACTAATTAATAATTCATTAAATGCTTTGTTGCAATTTCTGTGACACTTGTGGGCCTCGATAGGAAGCAGCAGAACCCAATGCAACATTTACAGGTTATCACTGTTATAACTTTTTGGAATGTCAGCATCACAATGCACCAATTCAAGAAATTCAACACAAAAACTTTCAGGCTAAAATTCCTAAAAATGCTGCTACATGCATTGTCTGCTATGGAAAAGTAATATCAGCTGTGAACGAGCTAAAGAATCCACAAAACATCATCTGAGTAATTTTAAATCCTACACTGCATCAAGATTGATGCTGCACATGTTTTTGCAAATATATCCTTTTTCCATTTAAGGCAGCAAATAAAAAAAAAAGAAGAATTACCTTTAAAGATTCACAAGTGATAATGCAGCCAATCAGCGGCTCAATGTGGAAAAGCGACATCAGAAGAAATATGTCTGCTCGAAGGCGCTCTGGTGCCCAGTGTAAACGGGGTTGTAGTTGTATATCAGCGCTTTGTTCTCCCCCTCCTCGGACTCAAAGCTGTGAAAGTTCTTCCTGGCTGCGGGGAGATGAGACGATACTAAATATTCACATCAAGCTCCATCGAGCAGCGACTGACTATTCAGAGGAAGAACCAGAAAATAATGGTTTTCATACCTTCGCTGACGAAGAACTCGGCCATGTAGAAGCTGGTCTTGACGGCCGATGGAGTGTGTGGAATGTAAGGCCTCGTCCATTCAAATGCATTTTTCTCTGGATGCCACTGCGTCGCATAAATTGGGTAATCATACGCTGCGGAAAGGTAAACAAAGAGGAAGGACTGAAACACTTCAGTAGGATTTATTTTGCTTGAATATATTAAAGTGATGCTGCATCATAGCTACCTTCCACTGTTGACGCAAACTCGATTTTGCCGTCCGTGTTTGTGGAGAGAACTTTGTAAAACTTCTTCAGTTCCTCGTTGGTGTTGTAAGTCTGAAAGGAAAGTTACAATTCACCACATTAAACTTGTTGAACTCATTAAACCCTGTTTTCTTTGAGCTTTTTATGTTGTCAGAAAATGATTTCAGGGGTTTTCACTGCAACGTTTACTAAATGTTGCCGATAAAGTTTCACGATGGAACATTTTATTGTCATATCAGAAATGGACGACTCACCAACATGGCCAGACTCCACTTGTGAGAGTTTTCTGTCAGGGGCTCAGAGGCCAGATCGTTCATGAGTTCAGCTGGGAAGCCTTTAAACAGCCGGCTGTCTTTGGTTTCTAGAGGTGAGCAGTAACATTGAGATCATTTATAACAAACTATATGTTCATCAGCATTTTCTAAAGCACGATTAAAGCAGATAGAGACGTTTACTTTTGCAGTAAATTGATCAAACAATCTCCTAAGACATCTTTAAATAAAGGAAATTGGCATCAACAGAATAATTTTGCCAAAAATGAACATTATATAAATCTAGTTACGGAGATAAGATCATAGAAAAGTTAGAATTAAGAAATGAGCGTAGAGTTAAAACCTGGATCATACAGAGCAGACGATATCTACACGCGTCCACACAAACCTGATTCAAGAAGAGTAACCACGTACCGTTAGTGAAGTCCAGAGGCAGTGACACACCACTTGTATCGGTGTGCGTCAGTAATGTCTTCCCACTCGTCAAATACATCAGCTGCTCAAACCCGAGACACGTTCCCCACACAGGGAAGTAGTCGCCTCTGCTGTTTGCCTGAAACATCGCACGCACACACACACACACACAGTTTGCAACATAATCTAACATCAACGTGTTTAGATCTGGTTATGATTTCAAAGAAATTACCTGAAGAGCAAGCTCATAAAAGATTTTTGCAGCTCGTTCATAACCAGATGAGATGATGCTGACCCCCCCGCCTGGGTAAAGGATCCTGTTAAAACACACAAGACACAAACCCTGAAGCCTTGAGCCGACAAAAGCTGAAGTGAAAACACTGATGAAGTTATCTCGGTATGTAAAACTGGCATCACACGTGACGCAGAAGTAAAATCTTGAAAAATCAACGAGAAAACGAGTTTTTGGTTCAAACAAACAAATAAAAACTCAAACCTGTTTTTAATCCCAAAATGTTTCTGTTAAGTTTTAAATACAGATTTTTTTTTTTGGGACATAATGTTTACGAATATCATTTCACAGGAAAAAGGTTTGTTCTGTTGAATCAAACTGATGTTTATATGTTTTAATTTGTGAGGCTGTGTCGTTTGACTTTAAATGATGCTAACACACTTACCCATTAATGGAGTTGAACAGGGCCTGGTACTCCTCCAGGGTCTGGTTAATCCTGCAGGAGCAGAGGAGATGTGCAGTGAGAGGTCACGTCACCAGTTCTCTGCAGAGATGGTTCTAAAAGTAGTTCACTAGTAGAAACTCACATGACGGGGACGACCCTCGCTCCCGCCGCCTCCAGGAACTTCACATAGGAAGCAGCGATGTACGAGCTTCGATTAGGTTCGGGTGAAAAAACCTCCTGAGCCAGAACCCCTGAGAGGAAAACACACTTTAAACACGAGCCCGCAGCCGAGTGAGTCCACGTGCGTGTGGTGAGCTAACAACACAACAATCACACACAGGGGTGGGGGGGGAGGGGGGGTTAGCTTAGCTTAGCTTAGCTTAGCTTAGCTTCAGTGAAAGAACGTGACGACGTGAAAACTCACCCACGATGGGTCTGTCGTTCCTCTTGGCCGAGGAGTGAAACGGGAAACACAGCAGAGGAAGAAGAAGAAGCATCGGAACCATCATGATCCTGAAAGCGCAACAAACATCCGCTCGTTTCACCGCCGCCATTAGCCCGCTGCACTTCCGGTTAGCTTCAAAACAAGAGCACGCCTGCTCGGAAATAACCTCGGTTTTTTTTTTTAAATAAAAAACAATAAGAATTAACTTGTGTGATATTTGTTTAAATCGTGTTTATTGATCCGTTTCAATTGTATTAAAGCTGCCACGTCCATTTAGATTGAGGAAAAAAAAATTATAAACAGAATGAAACTATTCCAGTTTGTGAAAAGACAATTGAATTCATTATTTTTTTAAAAAAAGATCTGTATTCAAACATTCTGAGATTTAAAAAAACTCAGTTTAATAAAAAAACAACTCCTTTGTTAGTACAGAGCTCCTGAAGACCCAAAAGATGAGTGTGCACACTGTCATCATGTGGAAACAAGATAATGATCAAAACATAATAAATCATTTGAAATGTTTTATTATGTTAAAGAAATGAACAAACTAAATAAATAAATCAAACCTAATGTTGTCGTCAAAGTCAGTGCAGATATTAACTCTGTGTGCACGACTTATTCATCTTGTAAGATAATAAGTTCAGGGGCTCCGTAGTTCTGAAGTCAACATTGAAAAACCTTTTTTAGAATACAAGTTCTTATAATTCAACCATGATAAACACCCAAAAACCTCAATGTACTATCTTGAACAGCGAAAAATGTGGAAATACAGGAAAACCTGACATGATAAATAGGATCATTTTAAATTTAATTATAGAAACAAAAACATAAATGTACGGATCAATTACAATTGACAGATGTAAATAAATTCCTGATGTAAATATGCCAATACTATAGCTTGTGAGCTGTAGACACTTATGTTGGTTTATATCCAGTCTTTACATCTAGTATAGTCTTAAAACTCCTGACAACATGATTATTTCACAGCCCCATGTTAGGCCTATGCACTTAACAAAGTTTTTACACTGACTGAAAGAACGTAAACAGCAGAGTTTAAAAAGTAAGGATCCTGCTTCAGGTCATGACATCACAACCAGTCTGGTTTGTAACTGTCAGCCTGTTTACGTCTACACCAGCAGCAGTCAGCTCATCGTGGAGTCTGCTGACCACGTCCTCCGGCAGCACCCGAGTGCGAGCCAGGATCCAGGCGAAGTCAATGTGGAAAAGACGTAAGTAGTCGCTGCAGGAGTAGACCAGAGCGTATGACTGGTAGTCTGTGGAGAGAACCCAGTACGGAGCATCTGGAACACCTGGATCCAGAAGTAATAGTAAAACACAGAATAGTTAAATTTGACTAAAATTTAAAAAATGCATCTGAAGTTTGCTCACCTTTAAAGAAGCTCACATCCAGCATGGCAGGGTGAGATGGGTCTTTAACTCTGGCAACGCCTTCGATGGAGTTTATCTTCCCATTAGGTCTTTACAGAGAGGAAGAGAGGGGGGGGGGAAGAAAGGGGCACTTTACATTAATGATTGATTCATATATATTCTAACATAAGAAGTCAAAATAAGTTAAATCCTTACAGCAACTCTTCATTGTGAACTCTGACTGTCCCGTCAGCGAGAAGAGAATAAGTGGCCTGGACACATTTTCCTCTCTCAAACCGAGCCGGGAGCTTCTCCGCCTCGTACCAGGTTCCCATGTACTGGAGGAGAAACAGAACAGAGCTAGTTCGACTGTTGCTGAGCGATTAAACAAAACAGAAAAGAAAGACTCAGTGTTTTACCTTCGTGACGTTGAAGTTCTCTTGAACTGACGGCTGAGGGCAGACGCCGAGGTGGAAAGACTGAGCGTCGGTGGCCACGGTCGTCAGCAGGAGCACGAACAGCACCTTCACATCGAAGCTAGAGGAGTTAAAGTGATGAAGAGTGGAACACTAACTCAAACATTATCATTATATTACAAATATTATCATTAAATTACAGAAAAACATACAGTACCTGGAACTTCTTCATGTTCAAGTCGCTGGAGATCCTCCGATACAAAATCAGAAGATGTGACGTGAGAGCAAACTGTGCAACAACATGTGCTCTATCATTCAGCTCAGTGCAAACTTTGTTTCTTCTGCACATCCGACCTTTGGAAGTCAAATGTGTTTGAAGAGCTAAACTTCTGTCAACAGAACCTTTAACCTTCAGTTCAATCACATTCAGCACAAACTACAGTTTAATAATTCGGCCCTCTGCTGCTGCTGCTGCCTCCCGGGAAGCTGTTGTTTAGGCTCGAGCTGAAAGTAACAGCTCATTATTTACGTTCTGAATTATTCATAATGTAGTCGGCTAAATATTAAAGATAAAAACTGGCAACTTTAAAGGTCTGGAGGTTTTGAACAGTAATAGTTAAATGGATCGTTTTTCATTAGTTGAATTACATGTGGCCTTTTGTTTCCTAATTTTCTGATGCCGATCATTTGCAGGCAGTAAAACGCCAGATAATTAACCAACATTTGTAAAGAAGGAGATGATTAGCTGCTGGTAAACACAGGCATAAAGATACGAGAATAAAAACTGTTTAAATGCAGGTTTGCATGTGTTTTATGAGGAATGAACATCGTCACAGCCTCCAGGATACACAATGTGTTTTGGAAAATTACTCTGAAAGTAAATGTAACTGGATGTCTCTAAGTTGGCAGAGCAAAGATGGAAGTAAACCATTTTTTAATTTTATTTTTTTTGTCCTGTTTATATCCAGACACACATGCACACATTGCAATTACTTTAGGAACCAAATTTAAGTTGTGTAATTAAAGATCATTGAAAAGAGAGTTAAGGGCTCAAAGGAAATAAAACCACTGTTTCTCTTTTAATTGAAAATGTGTGTTTGTTCAGATTTGTATTTATATTCTCTCCTGCGCTGAGAATGAAACAAGATCAGGTTATGAAAAGAAAAATCTTTATTCAACAAAGCACCAACATTTATACAAAAACATGTGCTCTCACTTTCACCAGCATGGACTTTATAAAGTTTTGTTTTTTGGTTATGAAAATATTTTTTTGCTTGTTTATATTGTGTGCATTTTTTGTTTTGAGTTTGTCGACATTCTCCAGAAAACTATGAGCTAAAAAAAAAAAGAACTGTACAAAATTAAATGTCAAAAAAGTGAGGAAAATAAAAAACAGTCATTTGACAAACAATGAACGATAAATTACATTCTTAAATTTAATCATTTGATTTCATGTTATGTGCTGTGACGGTATAAATAAATCAAAATGGATTTAAATTAAATAGGCTATAGAGAAGAGGAGCTGCTAAGGAGTGAGATCACCGAGGTGTAAGAAAAGCTAAGAACACATTCAAGAATGAAAATGTCGAACTAAAAAATATTTGTAAAATGAAGTACAGTGCAACGATATTTACTTTGGCGGCAACACTGGTCGTCAGGTCGTCCTGCTGTTGGACGAGGGACGAGCTTTAAGGTCTGGCTCTTGAAATGTTGAGTAAACTTCTCCTGAAATTCTTGACAAATATAAAAACAAAAAAAACTATATCCGTGACAACAAAACAACAAAAGTTGCATTTTGACGCTTCCGTTGAAAAGTCTTTGGAGATCTCTCAGGGCAGGTTTCAGGTTCAGGTGCACATTTCTGCGGACAAGTGTGTCCTCGGTCTCGACGTTCAGTCTTTTGAAGAACGACGAGACAAATGCAAAAGAGACGTCTCATCCTCAACACACCCGGGTGACTATGTGAAGCCGTTTGTGTTGCTTTGTTTGATTCTCGCAAAGTGACACAAATTAAAGGTGCCGCATTTATCATTTTAACAGTAATAACTTATTTACTTTGAGAGGACAGCGTTAACGTCTCGAATTACTACGATCATCGCTACGAAGACTGGCAGCCGCCATCAGGCTCTGCTGCATTTTACATTATGTGCCACAACAGCCGAGTTAATGGGAAATCTATCATGTTACTTTACAACACAAACGGAAATTCTTTTGCAAGGAATCCTCAAAAAGTAGCGTCGACTTCACATTACGATAAATCTCTGTTTGTTACTGCATCTGAATCTTTCTTCTCAGAAAGTGACGTGAGGAGAAAAACAAGTATAAACATCCTGTTTTGTAAAAGACGGGGTTTCCTGCCACAAAATGCGACACATAGCACCAACCATGTGCTGAAAATGACGTTCTTTCCCAGAATGTTCCACGGCGGCGGAGACGGGTTCCTCGGTGGAGTGGTATGGGGCGTCGTCGGGGGAGGGTTGGGACGGGATTTAAGGGTTTTTGTGGGTCTCTATGCAAAGGACGATGTACTCGTTGGAACAGCTTCGCGTCTGCTGGCCCAGGAGCAGCCCTGAAGTCAGGCTGGACGACTGACCCATGACGGACACGTGATCCGCTCGCCACGTCTCACAGTGTTTGTCCACCACACGGAAACCCCTGCTGGTGGAGCCGTGCCAGATGTTCTTGTGAGGCCTGGCAGGTAGAGGGCAGAAGATATAAACTTGACAAATTCAAGGGAACAAACAAAGAGGCGTGCAGTCATTAAAGTTTACTGACCAGAAGGGGTCGGCTAAAACGTCCCGGCCATCGAAGGAGTAGATGGGTATCCGGGAATTTATTGGTCCCCCGTCGCCGTTGAAAATCCCCCGCCAGTTCCTGAACATCACGTCTCCCTGAGAGACGACACAGAGCGGGTGAGACACGCAGAGGTGGAGGGTGAACCCCTGACAGACATTGAAAAGGGGAGCAGACTCACCCTGAGGTTGGTGACAGGCAGAGTTTCACGGAAACCAGGGTAAACCACATGGACCAGGTCCTGCCTGTGGGCGGAGATGAAGGCGCGGTAGTTCGGAGCCAAACCCATCGCCTTGGCCTGCTCGTAACACATGCGGTCGGCCGTGTCGAGCCCCATCAGGCCCCCAGAGTGAGGCTGGTTCAAGGCCACCAGGTTGAGCTGCAGGGAGAGGGAGCAAAGGTCCAGTGTTACTCTGGGGATTTGGATTAGAAAATCTGATAATGATAAATATGCTGTGAAAACATTTTGAAGTTAGTTCAGCTGTCTTTTAAAAAATAAAGGGGCTTGTAGCATAATATGCTACAAGAACTCACTTCAAACTTAAATGCAATCATTCATTCAGAATAATAGTATGTGTGATTTCAACTCACCCTCTCTTTAACTGAACTTATTCTTTCCACCGTGTCTCCTCTTATCTGATATGCTACTCGAGGCTGGAGGAACAGAAAACAGATGTTATGCAGATGAGCATCGGCCTGTGCAATATTTCCCAACAGCACTTTAAAAGTAAAAGCCATAAAAATGAGCAACACGCACCTCATCTTGTGGTATGATGTTACTGGAGAGGTAGATCAGGCTGCCGAGCTGCGACGAGGAAACGAAAGAAAAATCAAGGTTGTAAAATTGGTTCCGTATGTTGAGCTTGTGATGTTTAAATCTGAAAACCAGTCTGTCTATTGCATTATATATCAAACACACACACTTCAAACATTTTCTGAATAGTCAAATAAGTTATAAACATTATTTAAAGAATGAAAAATCTCAGTGAGACTGATTTTCCTCTCTCTGCTGATTGTTTAGATTTAGACGAATTGTAAAACAGCCTGTTTAATAGTCTGATATTCATGTACACATTTCATTTTCAAGTTTAGCGTTGATGATGCCTTGATGTCTTGTATTTGTATTTATAGTCTACAGATTAACTCTAAAAGTTCAACACTGGTCCGAGTGTTTACCTGTATCTCTTTCCATCCCTGGGAAACCTTGAGGAAAAGACTTCCTGTCGTTGTCACGTACGCCAGAGTTCCCTCTGCGTCCCTGACCGTGTTCTGCATCATGCTCTCACGAGTAGAAAAAGTTTGCAGCTGAGAAACAAACACGGAGAAGTCCAGTCACATGTGGAGGAGGTTCAGTGGTTGAATATTCATATACAGTAAACTCTGTACATGTGTAGCAGCGTGTATACAAACTGTGTGTGGCCAGAGGAAACACACTTACAGGTGCTAAGCTACCAGAGGTTCCAGGAGGTCCTGGTGGTCCAGGAAGTCCAGGAAGTCCAGGAGCGCCACCGATGGTCATGCCAGCTAGAACAAAAACATCATACTTCATAAAACCTCAATAGATTAATAAACAGTATTAAATCATAAAAGTACGGCCGACGTGTTGTACTTGAGCCGTATCTTGTGGGTGTCACAGAGGGTCCTGGAGGCCCCGGTGGCCCAGGAGGACCAACAGGACCAGTTCTCCCATAACCTGGGACACCAGGTGAGCCGGGCACCCCAGGGTGGCCTGGAGGGCCCAGCACCGACTCGCCTTTCGGACCCTGAAACATGGCAGGAGGGAGTTTCTGAGTTTAGTTGTCAATTCTCTGTCAGAAAGATGATGCGGTTGTGTATCCGTGGACTCACCACCAGTCCTTGTCTACCGGGGATACCTGGCTGCCCCATCATACCGGGCTCTCCCTTGTCTCCCTTCTCTCCTTTCATACCCTGGTCCCCTGTTGGCCACTGTGATCACAGACACAGACACACAAACAAAACCTGAGTCTCATGGAACATTAAACCAACAGGCTCCAAAAACAAAACCAGAAGACTTTGGTTTGACACGTACCCAGGCTCCTCTGGCCAGGAAAGTATCTACAGAGGAGAAAACACAGTAAGAAGCAGAGAAGGAATTATTATAACTTATGAACAAACATTTCAAATATATTCTAAAAATGAGAATTACAGTGAAAAACTGGAAAATTACAAAAAAAAAATTCTCTAAAGTGATATTTAAAGTTTGTATTTTTTTTAGACATTGTGTATTTAATGCTGTTAAGTATTAATTCTAATGTGCTGACTCACTCTGTGGAGCTGGCATCCCAGGAAGGCCTCTGTCTCCCTTCTCTCCTTTTAATCCCGTCTGACAGTTTCCTTGGACACAAAAATAAATAAATCAACACGATCCTTGAATCCATGAAGTATTTTTTAAGGATCTTTCATTGTAATAATATCCAGAAAAATATATTATATTATTATATTATATTATAATCCATACTTTATAGTAAACGTGGAAAATAAACCAACGTACCAACTGCAATGCTTCCATTGGGATTAAGCTGAAAAATACCAAGCAGAAACATTATATATTTAAAAATACTAAGAGTACTTCCAATGATCACGTATTAGTCCGTTGAGTTAATATTATAATCCTCATGCAGATTGCTACGATATGTTGATTATAAAACTACCTCAGTTGGTTTATGACACCGAGCCTTCACCTTTCCAGACTGGATGTGAAGCATGCAGGAGTATGATGGGATCCTTGAACAGTTCTGAGTGATGACATGTTAGAGGAAGTACCGATGTTACACAGAACCACATGCAGGTTAGAGGAAAGATGTGCAAAGGAAACAGAGATGGAAAGAAAGTTGGAGTTCAGGGACCTGAAGGAGACGACGAGGAAGTCAGAGGGGAATCATTGAATTTTCATTTGAATCCATAGATGAGATTATGCAGGTGACTGAGGTGACTCTCTACTAATTTGGACAAAATCTTTTATACAACTTGTGTCAGAGAAAAGTAAAATCACACCACGTCTGACGCCTTCCGCTGTTTCAACGTGTACACAGTGAAAAACGTTGATTATTAAAAAGTATGATCATCGTAGATAGAAACTCTGAATGAAGTGTTTACCAATCAGTGGTGTTTCATTCTCTGACACAGGCTGAGGTAAAAGGTTTTATTAACACATGCTTTAGTAGCAATATTGATGAATACAGTGTATTCAGAAAGTACTCAGACCCTTTTACTTTTTTTTTTTCTTACATTTTATTATGTTGCAGCTAAAATCATTTTTCCCACAAATCAATCTACTCTCAATTTCCTAGAGTAGCAAAGCAAAACATTTATTAGAGAGGGAAATTGAAATGTTCCACCGACACAAGTATTCAGACACTTTACTCAGCACTTAGTTGAAGCAGCGATTACAGCCAACGGTCCTCTTATGACTCAACAATCTGATCACACATGGACATTTTCTGCCATTATTCTCTTCAGATCCTCTCAAGCTCTCTCGGGTCAGATGGAGGACAACCATCGCCAGGTCTCCCCAGAGATTTCATCAATTAAACTTTGCTCAGGTAGATATTCAAGGTGCAGAAACATCCGTCCAGTGTCAGAGCAAAGAGTCTGAATACCTTTTTCCCTTTATTATAAGTTGAGTGCAGATGAATGGGGGGATAAATGAGATTAAAAGAGTTTTGCACGAGGCTAAAAAAAAGTGAAAGGGTCTGAACATTTTGTGAAAAAACTGTAGACACAGACTTACAGCCATTTTGCAGTGGGGTCTGGGAGGGACGGGGAAAACTGTCTTCAGAAACCAGAGCAGAGAGGATTTAGAAACATGTACACAATGACACGAACAAAGATATATATCTAGTATATATGAATGAAAGTATGTGAGTGTACGTTCTTACTCCTTTGGGGCAGTTGAACATTCCTGGGCGGCCCGGCGGTCCAGGAGGGCCTGGAGCTCCCTTATGAAGATGATTAAACAAAAAAGTACAGAGATTAAAAAGGGAAAATTAGAAGCTATACAACATATTATTGTAGTTTAACTAATTAGGTTAAAAGAAATAATAGCATTCTGGACATTTGTGAGAGTTTTCACTCTTGATCCCAGCCTGGTGTGTGACTCACCTGCAGCCCAGCAGAGTCCCCTCTGTCTCCTTTTTGTCCCATCGGGCCTGGACGACCCTTAAAAGACACACACACACACACACATTATCCACAATCATCCAAAACAACTACATGTAAAGCTAGATTGTCTTTAACACTAATGATTCCCACAGGGACATTTGGGAAATTGGGTAGTTTGTCGACTGTGCGATTTCATTTAAGGTAAAAGCTTCTCCACCACAGGTGTTCTGGACCTAAAATCATGTGTGGGTGTTTATCACAGCAGACAAACAATTGCTTTTTGAAATGAATCTGAACCTGATTCAAAGAACCAACGATTTATTTAGTTAATATTGAAATCACACTGGTAATGTTTGGTGAGTTCATGGTGCTTACAGCTCGTCCAGGAAAACCAAACTCTCCTTTTGGCCCTGGGGGTCCCACAGGTCCCTGTAAAAAACAAAACAAAGGGACTGATTGTCTTAAATATATATTCAGTGTTTCTGTTTACAAACAGCATAAAAACCCAGAAATTTGAATTGAGTTGAATTTGCTTCCTTTGCTCAACGTCAAGGCTTACTTGAACACCAGGGGGTCCAGCTACACCGTTATCTCCCTGCAAACACAAATACATTTTCTCTGATATGTGCAGTTCCATTGAAAAGGATTTAAATTTGTGTTAATATTAAAATCCTTGAGAACATGTGCATGTAAAAGAGGAATAAGGTTAAAAGTTTAATAAACAAAAGAAGGGGAGGTATAACCTTGACTCCCTTGGGTCCCGCAGGACCAGCCAGGCCTGACACCATGGCTCCGTCTGCTGCCATGATAAATCCTGGCTCGCCCTTTTCACCCTGCAGGAAAGTAAACAAACAAACAAACAAGCCACTGTAGCCTGAGGAATACCAAGTGCATGTACAGAAATATGAACTCGCATTAAACTAGGAAAGTGTTGAAAATTAATGACACAAATCAAATGTTTACTTCACTCATTTAATTTGCTTCGAGCAAGAGCGAGACAATAGAAGAGAAAGCCTTTATTATTTGTACAGAGGAAAGTAGTGCAATGAAATTAGAGGTGCAAGGACATTTATAAAGAGAACAAGTTTAAAATCTGACAAAAGACACAAACCAACAAATAACCAACAAAATAAAAATACACAACTAATATAGATGCGCGTCTATATCACTTACTCTAAGTCCTGGAGGTCCTTGAACACCTGGCAAACCAACGTCTCCCTTTGGACCCTGTGGTCCCTGCAAACATTCAATTAAAGTTAAACTCAAACTGAAATAACTCCTCATCTGTACCGAAGTGTGTTGCATTGACTTGAAAAAAAAAACAAACCCGATTTTTCTGAGTAATTTATTTTTTAGTTTGTTTTTTTGAATAATTTTTTCTATTTTTCTGACAAATTTTTTTTGTTACTGTTTTTCTGAGTATTTTTTTTTTCTTTCTGTTTTTTGGAGTAATTATTTTCTGTTTTTCGGAGTAATTTTTTTTTCTTTAGTTTTTCGGACTAATTATGTTCGGACTAATTATTTTCAGTTTTTCGGACAATTTAAATTTTTTCTGTTTTTTCGGAGTAAATTTTTTCTTCTTCTGTATTTGGGACAAATTATCTTCTGACTAATTATTTTTAGTTTTTCAGACAATTTAAWWWTTTTTTTCAGTTTTTCGGAGTAATTCTTTTTCTTTAGTTTTTCGGACTAATTATGTTCGGACTAATTATTTTCATTTTTTCGGAGTAATTTTTTTTCTTTTGTTTTTC